GCAACCTAGAACTAAGGAGAAATTTCCTAACAGAACAATTAATCAGTGGAACATCTTGCCTCCAGAAGTTGTGAATGTTCCAACACTGGATAGCCATTTATTTGAAGTGGTGTAGGTTTCCTGCCTAAGCAGGAGGCTGGACTAGAAGACCTCCAAGGTCCCTTCCAACTCTGCTATTCTAATCTAATATAGAGCCTTGAGTAGTTTCTAGGTAACTTGAAGGTTCTACAATTCCTACAAGACAGGGTTGCAATGCCAGGTCATATTAAACTTGCGGTGGGGGACTTTGGCCCTCATCAGTTACGACTGTCCTGTATTCTCCAAGGTACAAAGTTAGCAATGGAATGAAGAACAAAGGCCTACCTTAACTCAGACCACCCTTTTAAAAGCCAACACTTATCATAAAGATGCACAGGGCAGCTATGGAGGATCCGTCACTATGGGGATCCCTATTGTGACTTGTTCCCTGGGAAAGGAGGGGCTGAAAGTGTTGGGTTGTCATAGGACGACTTGGGACAAGCCGAAGCTCAGTTCTGAATGGGTCAGAGCACAATTTCCGCCGATCAGAAATTCTAAGTAGGATTCTAAGTATTCTAGTAGTAATATCTGGAAGGCAAGGGAGAGCTAGGGAGAACGACGAGGGAATTCGTTTGGTCCCTTAGGGTTAGCACCCTTCGTTCTGGAAGGAAACACCAATTAGGCGTTCAGTCCGCAGAAGACGATGTAAATACGAAGGAAAAGAAGTCCAAACTAAGTTAAAAGGAACAACTGAAATACCTTAAAGAGGTACAATAAAACGGTTGTCCCAAAAGGTGTTTTTTTTTTTCCAAAAGGCAATTGGGGCTTTCTTGGGTCGTTTTGAGAAAATCCCAAGGAAGAACCAGTTGCCTTTTTGGAAAAACACCTTTGGGACAACCATGACCTGGATAATTGAGAATCTCCATCGATGTACAACAGAATGAAACGGCAATTCTAAAAATTCCCTTTGGATGTCAAGTATAACAAACAATTCAGAACACCTGTCAAAATTCCTAACGGGAGATGCTTAGAGCAGTGGTTCCCAAACTTGGCAACTTTAAGACTTGTGGACTTCAACTCCCAGAGCTGGAGAATTCTGGGAGTTGAAGTCCACAAGTCTTAAAGTTGCCAAGTTTGGGAACCACTGGCTTAGAGGAGGAGGGAGACCCTGAATTTGCATGGATTTCTTCTCCGCGGCATCTGCAAAAATTTTAAGCAAGGAGATAAGAGACCACTTCTTCACTGGTTCCATCTTAAGAGCATCATTCAAACAATGCTAAGCCACTATTACAGGCAGCCTTTATATATCTGTTGGGTAATACTCGACGGAGTAGGAAATGGCTATAGATACTATTTATATCCATTCTATTAGTTGTAGAGACTACTAGAAATCAGCAGTCGCCAACACAATGCATGGTGATCTTATTTTGGTGTGGAACATGCTTACTGATGGTGTTCCGAATTTGAACAAATTAGCACAATCACAATATGGTCACCCCTTTTTTCTCTCTCCTCACAATGGATCTTTTCTCTAGTGCTAGTGGAAAGAAGGAAACAAACCAGACAATTCAGTTGTGTGCCTGGAAAAGTGAGATGTCTGATTTGTACTTTGCTTGAATCTTGTGGCCATTCAAAGATATCTTTCAATCTTTAAAAAAAACTTTTATTTTTTTTTTGTTTTCAAAATAATTGTAATTTATTAGACCGTATGTGAGGTTACCATTAAGGAAGTGAGCCCAAACATCAGACATTTGCTGCACTTTCAAACCTTTGTAACACGCATGATTCTCAAAATGAGTCTTACATTTGGATTTACAATTTGTTTTTAAAATGTACCAATACTTAAAAACAGCAGATTTTCTTTTAATTGAAAGGGATACACATTTAAAGCACAAAAATACTGCAAAAATGTCATTTGAAAATGGTGATTAATCTGTTAACAGTTTTAGTTAAGTCAAATCTAGTTAGCACCTTACTGAAGTCAGTCTCGAGTGTAAAATTAGTGCATATAATAGCAAACATGTACGTTTTGACCAGTAGCCCCGTTCTTGAAATTGAAAATATTTCAGTTTTCACACTTCTGGAATAAACAATGTTTCCAATTTCAACACAAGAAAGAAAAAGAAAAAAACAGGTTCCTGCTTCAAGTTGATTTGTTTAAAGCAATCATTTATAAAGATTGCATCAACATCCATTAGCAGAGGAAGATCCAACTTTATTGAAACTGCTTGCATACAAAATATATTGCACTATAACCAAACAAATGTCAACATAAAATCCAATCTGTTGTAGCTAATATGTACAGAGAATATTGCCCAAGAGCAGTTACATTACAAGGTCATTCTACCTTGGTTAATTATCTACAGTATTTTAAACCAAACAGCTTACAGATGATGTGTGCAAGGTACCAATTTCAGTTTTCAAATACTATACATTCCCCCAAAATAAATAATTAGAAATCAACATTTAATGTTTGGCAATATTTAAGACTTTTTTTTTAAAAAAAAAATATTTGTTAAGTTGTGTGCAGTTTGTTGCCATTTTTATATGCTTGCTTGTACGCAAAGTTAAAAAAAAATAGGTAAAATGAAAAAGCACAGAAACGAACAAAAACCAAACACAGACCGGGGCTGCAGTTTGTACAATTCTGTACACAATCAGCAACACTCCCACCGGAGTTCAATTTTAATAAAAACAGAATAGCTCAAAATGAAATATCCTACTGTGTTTTATTTTTTGCATGTAAAATTTCATTCATGATCGGAAATAGAAAGCATGCCTCCTCCTCCCCAATTACGGACAACTGAACCTTACACCAACTCCAATTACAAGTTTTTAAACTACTGGTGAACGAGACCTTAAAAATTGATCTGTATCCAATGCTGTCAAAAGTACAGTATATCCCTGAATTTTACGAAGAGCCGCGTAAAACACCATCATCTTCCTATCTCATCTGAATTCAAATATAAAAACTGTAGGGGAAGTGAACAACGACAATGAAGACGACAACAACAACAACAAAAACCCTTATTCTTTTTAAAATTGGTCCTCTGGCCACAGAGCTGGAACACATTATGAACAAGTTCTGGTTTGTTCCCTTGGTAACCATTAACTGCATTGTCACAATTGGGAGTATGTATTTATTTTAAAAAAACGAACAATCCCAAACCCCTGTCCTGACTAAAAAGGGGGGAAACGTAAACCAACAAATGAAGGGGGGAAGGGGGGGGAAAGCCACCACTTCAGTAACATGATCTGCCATTATCTTCAGTGCAAAATAGGTTTCTATCTTATAAACAGCCTAACGATGTTGACGCGGGGGAAAAAATTATGGAAAGCATGCATTTCTTTTTTAATAAAGTACTAACTGTTGGAGAGGTTTTGCTACATAGATATTGTACACTTAAAGTTCCTATTCAGATGTTTCCGCCTGAAGAGGATTACAGGTGGGAACCCACCGTGGGCTCTTCCAGGTGAGGTGACCCAGTTCAGGTCTCCCTGCTCAACCCAGAGAAGCTGGGGGGCCCTGAGGTGGGTGGGGGGAGAGGAGGAGGGGGCAGGTACCTGTGGAGACCTGGAGCCAAGCTCTTAAAAGGAGGATTCCTGCGCCCTGAGCAGGGTCGTAACACCTGAACGTTAAAACAAGAGTTCAGCATTTCCAACAAAATCTTCCCTGATTTCTGCTTCCAAAGAGAATATTCCTACCTGCCAAGATATAAAAAAGGCACATACCATACAACTTTTTTTTTTTTTGCTAATGAAAATGACAATTTAGTTACGTTACACAGAAAATCCGGGTTCACCGAAATATTTTTTGGGGGGGGAGGGGGAAAGGAAGGTGAACCGAAAAGTGTGTGTGAACTGACACAGGGACGTATAAGCATAGCGTCAATTTTACTTATTTATTTAAAGTGAGGAGGAGGTTTTTAATAGATTGAAAACAGAAGCCCAATTTGATTACCGCAAACACTTATTTATTCTGAAAATTGAAATTTAGCAGTGATTTTGACCAGATGCGTTAAAATGGTACAACTGAACAGAAATACCAATGCACAGTTCAGTATTTTTTTTTTAAACAAACAAAAGGAATTCTTTCATTGTTTGAAGTGCAATATGTACTTGAAAGCATTTTGTTTTTTTTTTCTCCAGAAGTTCAAGGTATTTTAATGCAAGTATAATGTCTCGTTTGGAAAAAAAACAAAAAGAAAACTGCATACTGCTGATGTTAAAAAAAGGCTAACAGAACTTTTTATTTTTGTGTTTTTTGTGTGTTTTTTTTTTTTTAATATTTCATGCCCTGCCGCCCTCTTGCCTACTATTTTTGTCTTTGGCCTAACGAAGTTTCTCTAATGTGGAATAAGATTTACTGGAACAGTTTTAGGAAATACGACTTCTCGAGCTATGCAGTTTTAGGGCACGCCATTCACCAACGGTTGCTGACTTTCTCCGCTGTCCGGTTTCTCTTTCTTCTGGTTACGGTCCTTACCCGTCCGCAGCCGGCTAGCTTCGCTGGAGGTATTCTGTAAGGTTTTAGTGTGGACACTCCTTTCATTATTGCAGTCAATTCTGATCTGAAATAAGTTATAGTTACATAAAAGCATACCCCCCTCGGAGCCACTAGGGGGCGCCCACCGAGAGACGCCGGAGAGGACTTAAAAATTAACAACAACGACAACAACAACAACAGTTTTCTCCTCTTCCAATTAAAGCAGACTCTGGGAAAATATATATATTTGTTAAGAGGCCATTTGAATGTTGCGAGGTAGCATTTTATAGCCAAGTTGCTGGATTTAATACATTGTGTGTCATACACAATATAATGTATATACGATATACATTAAGTCAGTGTTTCTCAACCTTGGCAACTTGAAGATGTCTGGACTTCAACTCCCAGAATTCCCCAGCCAGCATTCGCTGGCTGGGGAATTCTGGGAGTTGAAGTCCA